TTTTTTTTTTTTTTGAGCATTTAGTAAGACTGAAAAAGTTTGTGAGAATTACCCCAATATGTCTTAACATATCTGTGAGGTAGTTAAATCAACAGTACTACCCATTCCTAATTGTCCACAGTAAACAGAAGCATGGCTGAAGGATACACTACCCATCCTTGAGCACTAAGTATTAGAATAAACACAGACGTCAAATATACTTAGTTTTAACAAATGGAACTTAACCTTTCTATTAAAAAAAAAAAAAGTATCACTTGTTACCCTTTAAAAAACACATGTCTATTACCTCTTCCAAAGTTGCTCACTATGGAAAACTAGGCATCCCTGAACTCAAGCTAACCCTCCAATAGCCTCAATCAGTACAAACTGAGACATCACCCTGTGAGGGCTAAAACTGTATGACGTTTTTATTTTAGGCTATAAAACAAAATTAGGCAAACAAACAAGAGAAAAGCTCAACATAGGTTCAAATGATGTAATTCCATCTTTTCCAGGAAAGCAGAAGGTAGGCCCTACCACAAAGAAAAGATATTTAATTAATGGAGGTTAATTTTCAAAGTACATTTAAATACTATCAGATTAACTTCTGAAAAAAAAAACAAGCAACAACAACAAAAAAACCCTAGGGTTTGTTCATCTTGCTATAATGACTATGAGTTGACTTCTGTTATAATTGTATCATCTGAAATAGAAAACTCCCTTAATAATCTCAGTTATTAGGTTTGATCTTACTGGAAATTCTTAACCACAATTTTCCTTTTTCCAACGTGTCAGTCCCTGCATCACCTAACATAAATGGAAGCATTAGCTGATACAGGCAGACTTCAACCTGTTCTACCAGCTGACAAACAATTTTGGTTCTTGAGGAAAGAAAGAGCTACAGCAAACGTGTTCAACAGTTGATTTCCATACTTGTATTCCAATAGGTACATGATGAAAACATTCCGGAAGAACCAACCTGCAGCATCAATAACATGCCATGGAGAGGATTTCTGCATTCCACAGATCTGACAGAACTACAGTTGAGATGCTAGGCAGAACAGATTGGTCTTTCAAATAGCAATTTCCTTTCCTTTAAAAACTTACTGATTCTACCAAGAAAATACAAAACATAAGGCTGTAAGTAAATGATAGTCATATTTAGGCTGTTACAGGGCAGGCCGTCCTCAAGGCCACAGACATCCTGCTTCACTGCTGCTTGCACTCTGCTGGGTTCTGATCCTTCTTGGGGTCATAGTCAGGATCATTTTCCTCATCTCCTTCTTCTTCCCCTTCCTCATCAGTTTCTTCACCTTCTTCATCATAATCATCGTCAGCATCCTCAATAGCCTCTCCAGTAAAGTACAGCACTGATCTTGGGATTATCCGCTCCCGTAAACAGTGACCAATTTCAAAGTCTACAGCCAGTATGGCTTCGGCATCATCATCCAGATCTCCATTCTCAGGAACTTCAGGAGGGGCAAAAAAATTAAGAAAGAATCATTGGAAACTGTTTTAGTCACAGTACGAACTGTCCCACGTCCCTTGTGTTTCTGCTTCTTTTTAATGGTTTTCAAAGTGACATTCTTTCCTTTTTTCCAATCTATCTGGCACCCTGTACAACCCATAATTTCTGGTCCATCAAAAGAGAAGGGATCAGAATCATCTGGTTCTGACCGCATCCTGTACGTCTTTGTTAACAATTCATTAGTGAAATATTCATTGAGTTCAAAGTGAAATTCTAAGATAAAACTCATAGGTTGGCCAGCATCTGAGAACTTCACTTTGATATCTTTCAAGTGCTTCAGAATAGGTTCATCATGTTCCTGAACCATATCACTGAGGAAAGCAACATTCTTAAAAACTGTCAACCAAAATTCAGGAATTCCTTTAGGGTCTTCTTTTTCTTCATCCTTTTTCTCGTCTTCAATCTTGGCCTTTTCTTTCAGTTCCTCCAAAATTTCTTCCTCCTTATCTGGTTTCCATTCACATTCTTCTTCGATAGGTTCATAAATTGTATTAGTGATCTCAAATCGATTATCCAATAAAGGCTAATTATCAAATAAAGGCTGATAGAGAACAGCATATTTCCTTTCAAGATCATGAACTTCCTCGTAGAACTTGGCTTCTATCTGTGCACATTTAACTTGAAGGTTTTTGAGGCCGTTCACCCGTCTTTTGACTACTTTAGGCAGGCTTTCAATGTATCCTGTTGGTGTGTCTACCAGACCATCCAGTCTTTCCTGAAGGGCTGCAAGAATCTGAGGATTTTGCATCATCTGACCAGTCAGCTGACACGCTTTGATTTTTGTTTCTTCACCCATTTCTTCTTCTTCTACTTCTTCAACGTCATCCAAATCTTGATCAAGTTCAGACTGTTCTTTGTTGTCAATGTCTGCCATCTTGTAAGAACTCCAATTATCGTTCCAGGAGGCTCAGACACGGAGCCGGGCGGCGGGAGCTGCAGGCAGTGACTCAGGGCGGCGGCGGCGGGGAGGAGCGGGAGGAGCGGGAGGAGCGGGAGGAGCGGGAGGAGCGGGAGGAGCGGGAGGGGGGGCCGCGGGCCGAGGGGCAGGTCAGCTGTTTCTGTGGGATTAAACAGCTTGGTTCTGACCCCATTGATCTTCATTTCTCACTCTCTGCAACTGGGTTCCAGAGTTAGGTTCAGTGTGTATCAATCAATGAGTGTCTGACTCCATCAGCCACTGGATGAGGGCTCTAGGATGCTATATAAGGTAGTCATCAGTCTCATTATAGGGGAAGGGCGTTTAGGGCAGCCTCTCCACCATTGCCTAGATTGTCAGTTGGTGTCATCCTTGTAGATCTCTGGAAATCTTCGTAGTGCCAGATCTCTCCTCAGACCTATAATGTCTCCCTCTGATATGGTATCTCTCATCCTGCTCTCCTCTATTCTTCCCCCAACTCAACCTTTCTGCTCATCCATTTCCTCATCTCCCCTCCTCTTCTCCTGCTCACATTCTGCCAGCTCCCTCTCCCCTACTCTCATGCTCCCAATCAGCCTAGGAGATCATGGCCCTTCCCATTCTCTGGGGAATGATGCATTTTTCTCTTAGAGTCCTTCTGGTTTCCTAGTTCTTTGGTGAAGAGGATTGTAGACTGGTAATCCTTTGCTCTATGTCTGTAATTAATATATGAGTGGGTACATACCCAGTTTGTCTTTTTGTGACTGGGTTACCTCACTCAGGGTGGTTTCTTGTAGTTCTATCCATTTGCCTTCCAATTTCAAGATTCCGTTGCTTTTTTTCTGTTAAGTAGTACTCCATGGTGTAAATGTATCACATATTCTCTATCCATTCTTCAGGTGACAGGCATCTACATTCCTTCCAGGTTCTGGCTATTACAAACACACACAATGCTGCTATGAACTTGGTTGAACATATGTCCTTGTTGTATGAAAGTGCATTATTTGAGTATATGCCCAAGAGAGGAATTGCTGAATCCTGCGGTAGACTGATTTCCAATTTTCTGAGCAACCACCATACTGATTTCCAGAGTGATTTTCCAAGTTTGCACTCCCACCAGCAATTGAGGAGTGTTCCTTTCTCTCCACATCCTCTCCAGCAAAGACTGTCATTGGTGTTTTTTATTTTAGCCATTCTAGCTGGTTTTGGGGTCACTTATGTAGACTATCATATCATCTGCAATAGTGAAAGTTTGACTTTTTCCTTTCCAATTTGTATCCACTTGATCTCTTTTTGTTGTCTTATTGCTCTAGCTAGGGCTTCAAGTACAATATTGAAGAGATATGGAGAGAGTGGACAGCCTTGTATTGTTCCTGATTTTAGAGGATTAGTTTTGGCTTTCTCTCCATTTAGTTTGATGTTGGCTGTTGTTTTGGCGTATATTGCTATGATCATATTTAGATATGTTCCTGTTATTCCTATTCTCTCCAAGATCTTTATCATGAAGGGACGCTGGATTTTGTCAAAGGCTTTTTTAGCATCTAGTGAGATGATCATGTAGTTTTTCTTTTTCAGTTTGTTTATATGGTGGTTTACATTGATAGATTTTCGTATATTGAATCATCCTTGCATCCCTGGGATGAAGCCTACTTGATCATGGTGGATGATTTTTCTGATGTGTTCTTGGATTCGATTTGCCAATTTTTTTTCATGAACTTTTTTTTAAGATTTTCTTTTTTTCCCAACTTTTTTATTTGAATTAGAAACAGGATTGTTTTAGATGACAATCCCATTTCTCTTCTCCCACCTGTCCTCCCCTACCACCCCCCCAACTAAAACCCTATCT